TCAAGCTCTTCCATTCTTCAAAAAGAATAATAAAAGAATGTAATTAATAATAGAATAATAACAATGATAATAATAACAATAATAATAATAAATAATAATAATAATAATAATAATAATAATAATAATATAATAATAATAATAATAATAAGCTAAGGAAGATTTAATTTTGCTACAATTAATCAATTTTGATAATTAACTAACCAATAATTAACAAAAGGTAATGATTTGTTTTTTTTTTTTTCTATGAGATCAACTAAATTTCATTTATGGTCATTGAAGTTTTTTATTTTATAAATTGCATCATTACTTATAAAGTTAAATTTCAGTTGAAAAAAAAAAAAATTGATAATAATTTTCATATCGAATGCTGAAATAATTAAAAATGAAATTTTTTTTTTTTTCAAAGGAAAGAAAAAAGTTCAAAATAACCATAATTTTTATAAAAAAAAAAAAAAATTCGAATAAAAAAAAAAAGAAAAATTGTTTTGTTACAATATTAATTCGTTTAATTGAAGTACAATTTAATTTGAAATTGATTAGTAAATTTTTCTAATTATTAAGTGCTATTTTAAAGCAACTAAAAAAAAGTATCTGTAAAAAAAAAAAAAAAAAAAATTAAAAAAACAAAGTTTTGAAATATGAAAGAGATTTGGATTAATTAATAAATAATCATTTAGAGGAAAAAAAAACCATAAATTCAATATAATATAGAAATGGCATTTCTTATTTATTCAAATTAAAAAAAAAAAAATATGTATTAGTTAAAATTTTTTTTGTTTATTGATAAATAATAAAATTATTAATTGATGATATTAGTAGCCTATTAAAAAGAATTATTTTTCTTTCTTTTTTTTTCTTTGTTTGATTTTTTGATTGATTAATTTTAAAGATAACATTTGAAAATATAAAATTAAATAAGTTTAAGTTAGTCTTATTAAATAAGTTAAAATTTGTAAATATGAGCGCACATGGAAGTGAATATTTCCAAAAATTTTTTTCATATAAAGATTTGTAAATTTAAGCAAAAATAATAGTTCAAATTTTATTTTAGTCATTTTGCTTTGAAGAAATTAAACTAGTCAAAATTCATAAAGTAAATGAAACATTCGAATAAAATATAAATTAGAAGGATGCAATTTGTGGCATAGCATCCATCTTATCATTTTATCGTTATCATCCATTTTATTCATTAAAAAACAAAAGAACAAAAATAAATAAATAAATAAATAAACAGAAAAACAAAATGACAATCTTACAACTTTGTATAATTTTTATTAATATTAATTTTATTTACAATGTTGATCATTTGTTTTTGTTTTTTCGTTTTTTTTTTTCTTTTTTAGTTTTATTTTTTCCTTTATTTTTATAACTTAAATTTTCATTTTTTTATAACTTAAAAAAAAAAAACGATTTGCTAAAGAATTATATTTGTTTACATATAAACATAAAATATATATATATCATTTTTTTTGTAGAAATACTTCATTCAATTTGTTTTCTTTTGTTGTTGTTGTGTGTTTATGAAAAATTTTATTTACGATAGCATTATCAATTGTTGCTCCTATAAATTTTATCAATTGTTTTTGTTGAAGTTTATGACAAATTTACTAATTGATATAAATTATTCATTTCATTTATATTTAAATGAAATTTTTTAATAATTTTGAAATAAAAAAAAAATTGGGAAAATGAGTGAACGAATAATTAAATGATTGAAGTAAAAATTAAAGTAAAAAAAAAATTAAAGTAAAAATTAAAGAAGTTAAAAAGGAAGATGGAAAGAAATCGAATGAGAATATTTACAAAGGAGAGACAAAGAAGTTGAAAAATTCATTCGATAAAAGTTTCAATGTCATTTAAATTTTTTCTACTTAAAAGCTTATGCTTTACACTTTGTAACTTTTCCTTCTTTTTTTTTTTTAAGTTTTTAAATTTGTAACAATCATCTATTTATCAATTTCCATATTTTCTTTCTCTTTTTTTTTTTAAAAAAAAAAAATGCAATTTACAGTTAAGTTATTTGCAAAATTCTTTTTCATCTTATAATTTTCCTAAATTTTAATTTTTCTGTCAAAATATTCAAATTGCTTCACTTGTTTTTTATGCTAAAATCATTATTTTAACAAAAAAAAAAAGTTTCAAATTTCTTAAACATTTCATAAATTTATTTTTACCATTGTAGAACAAAAAAAAGTAAAACTAAAATTTTAGTATCAAAAATGAAACGATGAAATTTTTGAAATGTATGTATGTACAAAAAATCATTGTTTTTTTTTTTTTTTTTCTTTTTCTTTCTTTAATATTCTATGAATAATTTGTTTGAAAAGAAAAAATCTTTTTCAATATTTTATTAATTGATTAATTATATATAAAAAATGTAAAAATATTATAGAAAAAAAAAAAAAATTAAAATTCAATGTTAAATGATTGCAACTTGATTTGCTAATAATTTAACGATTTAGTGTTTACAATTTTATGATTACAATGAATTTGTAATGTAATTATTGGAACGAGAACAAATGAAATATTAATTAATTATCAGATTTTTGATCTTTAATAAATCATTCATTGAATCAATCAATTAATTTGGTAATTTTAATTATGTATTTAAAGTTGTAAAGATAATAAATAGGCAAAAATGACAGTTTCAGTAAAGCGAACAGTAAATAATATTTTAAAATTTGAGTTATAAATTTATATATTTTAAAATTTGAGCTAATTTGAGTTATAAATTAAATTACTGCAAAGGAAAATTTCCAATATTTCATAAGGAATTGCTTGATAAATAGATTGAAATAGAAAAAAAAATTAAAAATTGTCAAATTAGTCACTAAAAAAAAAAAAAAAAAAGCACAAATGAATATTTGTAAAGAAAGTTAATGAATTACTTATAAATTTTAAGAATAAATGAACAAATAATTGCCAGGAAGAATAGTAATATTGTTGATAGACAAACTTTTTATTGCAAATAATCTTTTGAAATTAAATAATTAATTTAATCATTTAAATCTTTTTTCATTCTTTATACAGCTATTTAAAGATAATTATCGCTAGAATGACAAGAATATCCATTTTGTAAATGTATAATTTTTCGAATTTAAAATATTTTCAAGAACAAGATTTGAAGTGATAATTAAGACATTTTGATAATAATTTAAAATATTACAACACAATAATAATAGTTCAAAATACTAGCAGTAGTAGTAGTAGTAGTATTAATAACAATAATAATAATAATAATAATATTGATAATAATAGTAATAATAATGACAATAATTAATAATAATAATAAATCTCATAGATATGATAGATATTGAATAAACTATAATTTACTGTTCAATATTTATATGATAATAACTATAAATTTATCAATAATATTATAAATCTTAAATAAATTGGATAAATTTAGGATCTAATTTTTGTCTGAATTTGCTTAGATTTAATTTTTTTTTTCTTTTTTTAAGTAAATTATATTTGTTATATTTCATACATTTCAAATATTTTCGTCATATTTCATCCAGTTTTTCATCTCTTTAAACCAAAAAAAAACAAAAAACAAACTTTCTCCGAATATAAAGAATGAATTATTGATTGAAAATATAATTGGAAATTAAATTAATATTTACTTTACTTTATTTTCTACCAAATAATTTATTCTTTAATACGAATTTTTTTTTTGATCGATTCGTTTTATTTTCTTTTTTTATTGCGTCAATCCATAAAGATAAATTATGCAACACCTTTCAAACTACCTGCATCTTCCGAAAAATAAAATATGTCTGTATGGTCTGTGTATGTGTGTGTGTGTGTGTATGTATGTATGTATGTTTGTATGTGTATGTATGTATGTGTGTGTTGTATATATGTATGTGAATTTACAATTGGTGTGACATTGTGCAACAATGACCGCTGATAAAATACGATGACATTCGATGACCGATGCAATGGTACTATTACTTTATTAGCATTGGTTTACTAGTAGTAAAGTTAATTCTAATCTAATCAAATTATCAAATACTAAATTCCCAAATTGTCATATATATATTTAAAATTTTCAATGAATTCTTTTTAAAAAAAAAACTTTATGAATTATTTATTTTTTTGTATAATTAAAAAATTATACCTAAATTATATTCAACAAAATATAATTAATCTCACATATAAAATTAACAGATTTTTCAAAATATGAAATGAAATATATTTTAATTAAAAATGCATTAAAAATTTTTTTCTCTATAGTAACAATTTCAGATTGAAATAAAACCACTTTTTTTCCGACAAAAACAACCAAACTTTCTTTTCGAATCTTTAGGTAAAGAATAAATAGAACTAATTTTAAGTATCATAGTGAATGAAAAAATGTAAAAAAAATAATTTCAAAAATTTTTAATTTATTTTTTTTTTTTTTGAAAACATTTCGAACTAATTACACCGCTTTGAATGTATTAAGCATAATTAAAAATAATTTATATTGCATTTAACAAATAAAATTTTGCAAAAATCTTAAGAAAAACAAAAAATGTTTCTTGCTTTGATTGCAGTTGCTGTGTCTTACAATTTCACAAATAAATTATTTAAATTAAGCAGAATTAAAGTTAAAATTACATTTCACATTTTTATATTCGTATTTTGATAATTTAACAACAGTAAATTAATCATACAATTTTATATAACTGAGAATATGAAAAAAAAAAAAAAAGTTTTTTTAAAGTTATGCAAGATTATGAAAATATACAATCAATAAATTTCACTTCACTTTTACTGTTAAGATAGCATTTTTTTGTTATGCTCGACATGCGTGAACTTTGACCCATCAAAATTAAGATTAACTCATCCAACTTATTGCATTATACATTGCTCTTCTACTGATTCATTTAATATTTTAATTTCAAATATTTATAGGCAAATTTAAACGTTGCTAACAAAACTTTTTTTTTTTTTTTTTGTTCTAAATTATGACGAAAAAAAAAAAAAAAATGAATAATTGAAATTCTTTTTTTCTAAAATTGATTTTGTAATAATGTCTTCCACGTAACATTCACTGCCAAAATTACGAGATGTATGTGTTCCAATTCTTTTTTCAATAAATCAATTTGTGTTCGTAATGCACCATTCTCTTGCTCAAGTGTAATCATACGTAAACGATTTTTTGCTTCTTTAGCACGACGTGCTTCACGTGATCGTCGAGCAGCATCATTGTTGCGAATTCGTCGTAATTCTTTCTCTTCAAACTGTAATAAATAATAAAGTGTTAAGTTAAATTAAAATATTTGATGCATTTTAGAATTTATAATTATAAATTTATTCAAATGTATGAAAAATTATCAAATATAAGTTTAATTTATTTGATTTACTCAAATAATTTTTAATATTTGTAAGCTAATTGAGAGCAGTAATTAAAAATTATTTAACATTTTGGATAAAATTAACAATTATGAATCTTTTCAAATTGTTACTTAATATTTTCAAATTGTGTGTCAATTGAACTCTAAATTCTATTAAATATCATATTTTTTTTTTCACAAATAACTCAATATTTTTTTTGATACTAGAAATACACAAAGTTTAAAAGAATGATTACTTCAATTATTTTAATTCTAATTTTTTTAGTATTACATAACAAATCTAAAAATAGAACCCAGTGGTTAGTTTTTATATTTAATTTCAAGATAACAGTAAATTTTTGAAGCTAAAAAATGAGAAATTATTCAGCTAATCTAATGTGATTAGAGATGATTTTTAATGCATTCAGTGCTTGAAAATTTTAAATTGGAAAAAATTAAAGTTAAGAAAGCTATGCAATTGTTTACTATCAATTTAAATATTTGTTTGCAGTTTCAATTAGATCAATTTTCGACTGTTATTTTGTTGAGATTTGTTTAGAATCAAATATTCTATCAGTTGTTTAGTTGTTTACTATCAATTTTGTTGAGTTTGTTTGAAATTATACATATAACTTTAACTTCGTTAATTTTTATTTTTTGAATATTTACAACTAGAATTTATAACTTACTGCTATAAAATCGATTTTTTTAATTTTTTCTTTTTCGTCTTTATTATTATTGATTGTTTCATTACTGAAATGAATTATTATGGATGAAACTGATCCAACTTTATAATTAGAATTATAGAGCATTAATATTTAAAAAAAAAAAAAAAAAGGAGTTTTCTCAATTTCATTTCTATTCACTTTTTGAAATATTTCTATAAGTTAAACTATTAATGAATTCAAAAAAGAAATTTAATGAGAGATGATATTAACATTAAAATTCAAAACTTTTGCAAAACAAAATTTTTTCATCTTTTCAAATTTAGTCTTTCCTCTTTTTTCAAACAATGCAAATATTTATATGTTTGCTCATATTTTTCTTTAACAAAAATTAGTTTTTTTTTTTTTGCTTTAACTTGGAAAATTAAATCGAAAAATTTAAGAACAAATATTTTTGTTGCCTGAAATTAGAAACATTGCAAGATGGATGCAAATCTCTTGATGAATTCATCAGTACACTACTGCAAAGTTGCATCTTCTGCAATTGAAATAAAAAATTATCTGAAAAAAATATTCGAAATAAATTGTCAACAAATGAAAAAAAAAAAAAAATCAAATATTTGTTTATTGAATGCTTTTCAATATTTCCAGCGAAAAAAAAAAAGGAATAATCAAAAATTGAACTTCAAAATGTAGAAAAAAAAAAAATAATAGTTAGCACACAGTTAAGATTAAGAAAAAAGGGAAAATAAAAAAATTAAACAACAAAAAAAAAAAAAACCAATGACAACTTATTGTTCAATTTTTTAGCTAATGATTTAATCGATTTAATTGAGAAATTGAGAGATCGAAAATTGATTAATTTAAAAGTTTGATTGTTTTACATATTTCAGAAACTGTAGCAGTACGGTAAGACATAGGAATTTTTTAACGACAAAAAAATTTCGATAGAAATAAAATTTCAATAATAATTTTAAAAATTTTGTAATTTCTATTTAATACATTATTTTTATTCATCATACAGTTGAAATTTCAATTAGAAATTCTGATAAAAAATTCATTTCAATTGTGCAAAAAGCTTTTTTTTTTTTTTCTTTTAAATCGCTCATAAGTTTTCGAAAAAAGAAAAAGAAACTCAATAAATTAATTTGAATAAAAAATTCCAATAGAATTTGAAAAAAAAAAATCGAATATAAAAATATAATTATTCATAATTAAAAAGATAAAAAATTAAATTGAAAAATTTAAAAAAAAAAAAAAATCGATTATTCAAATAATTGCTTAGAAAGTAGAAAAACTAATTCATCATTTGAATTGAATTAACTGAACATGAAAAAAAAAAAAAATGATTGCAAAAAGAAAAAGAACAAAGATATGAACGATACCGACCTTTCCGTGTCATCAAAAAAAAAAAAGAAAAAAGCTTACGGTTGACCCAATCAGGTGCTTACGTAACAGGTTGAGAACTACTCGGCAGGCAAATAATATTCTCCGGCTAAATGCATCATATTACTACTACTGATTGCACCATCAGAATTGAACGAAAACCTTTCTGAAAAGTTCATCCCTTCCTCTTTCAACTATTCTTACATTTAATTTCTTATATATTCATTTAATATTTAATGGAATAAATATAAATTTAAAATTTTTAATTCTTTAAAATAAAAAAAAAAAAAAACCATCAAATCTCCAAAAAAAATTCCAAATTCAATGATGCTATTATTGAAAATTTTTGAAGTATAAAAAAAAATTAAAGTTTTAAATATTATATGAATACTTTAATAATTTTATTTTCTAACATTACTTGTTTTTATCATCAGAAAATTTCTTTTTTTTAAAAGAAGAAAATATTTTCGTAATTAATTTGTTGATTGCATCGTAAAAAAAAAAAAAAAAAAAAAATGATTTTAATTTAGAGAAAATGATTAATTATTTTATTAAAAAATTTTCTCCAAATTATTAATTTTCAAAGTTTAAAAATTTTTGATACTTTTTCTCCAATATTTTTTTTGATACAATTAGATAAATTTTAAAAATTTTTGATACAATTAGATAAATTTTAAAAAGCATCTAAAAATAACAATAATTCTTTAATTTTTATCACAATGTTTTCAAAATCACTGAAGTGATAAAATTTCAAATAAGTTACAATTTTATTATAAAATACATGATTCAGTGCTTAAATAAACATACCTTATGTTGAAATAAGAAGTAAAACTTTTTGTGCAAAATATTACTGAGACAACATAAAATATTAGTGAAACATCTTCAGAACAAAATTATAAAAATTTGTTTAAGAATTTAGAATATATGGCTTTATTTATTATTCACTGTAAATTTCATGGCTAAATTTTAGCTCAAAGTTTTTTTCAAATTAAAAAAATTAAGTCTTAAATTTTGATGAAAATTGGAAATTTAACAGAAACATATGCTCTCTGTAAAAATTTAATAAACAAAAACAACCACTTATTGTTAATTCTCAACTAGTATTCTTCACTTCAAATATAATTTTCAGATCAAAAAAAAAAATTAAAACAACAATTGTGATAAAGTGAAATGATAATAAAGATGATAAGTATATTATCCAAAATACGTTAAAATAACCTTAGAATAGCTACAGAGTTTCTTGTTTTCTTTCTTTTATTCTTTTTTTTTAAAAAAAAATATGACAAAGTAATGATTTAAAATAATGTTTGTATATTGTTTAAGCAAAATAATCATATTTAAATTGAGATATTTAAGCGAAAGATAACATAAATTAAAATTGGAATATCTCTAAAATATTTTTGCACAACTATGAAATTAACATTTAGCTTTTTCTAATGGATCTGAAATTAACTCTTCAATTTTCATATCAGAAGCATTTATTTGATTGACAAATGAGCTATTAGCTTCGTTTTCAAAAAGGCATCTAATAAGGTAAATTACTATGTTTACCAATCGTGACAATTTATACTTATTGCAAGTTCTGACATTGCATAATCATATAAATTCTTACTTATTCTGTGTAAGCATTGAAATTCAAATGTAGGATGATTTTTATCAGTTAGCTCTAACTATAGTAATAAAAGTATAAGTATTATGAGTTACAAAGCATGGGTAAAAGTAACTTGCCTTACTCAAAAGTTTTCCATGCACAGGTAAGGTAGCATATATCAGTTTTTCTAGTAAACACTGGAGGGTAACTACTTAACCCCAACTCTTGCATCTGCTTGATTCCTGAATTCTGACATGCTCCTTTCAAAAGTCTTATGCCATCCTCAAGTCAAGTCGAGAACAGACAAAACACATTTTTGATATGCTTGCACAGCTAAGCTAAGTTCTTCCCATTGTGAAAGTGACAAATCAAGATGCAATTGCTCGAATAAAACTAATAACATCTCAAAGTCAACTTTTGTTTTTCAAATCAAATAATAATAATTTGATGGATGTTTGTAACTAATGTGCAGAAATATCAGTGTAATATTAATAATACTATATTATAGTTCTAATTTATATATCTGATTATATTAATAATATATGGAATAATCCAGTAATGGATGAATTATTTATGATAATTACATGGACAAATTTCATGTTATCATTGTATTATATTTTGATTAAAATAATATAACAAAATTTGGAAATAGAAAATGACTGGAAGATATGGATAAAGATATGAACAAAATTAATGAATTATCATTGAAGATTATTCATAAATAAATCAATAAATCAAATTTATTTAGCATTAATGTTTGAATTATGATAGCAAATAATCATTGAGTGAATTCAATTATCTTTTTAAAAAGGAAAATTTATTTATATGTAAGAAGAATTATAGAGGAAAAAGGGAGGTAAGAGAATTTTTGTTTTCATGGTGTTTTCATGGTGGGATCAGAGTTTTCATAAATGTTTGTGCATGAAAGTATGCTGTTAAGTGCATCTCCTTTACTGTTTAGTTTTCTTTGTTTGAGAAGTACGTGGTTAGGTTAAAGGTCAGACGCAGAATAGACGTTGAGGAATATGTGTTGTGGTTCAGGAGGAAACGAGCATGAAAGTTACGATTAAATGGTATTTGAAAAATTTTATTAAATTTTATCAACATTATCTTTTTTTCAGATTTTGACATTTTTCCATTTTTCCAATCTTTTGTCTTGTTCAAATTTTTAATTCTAACTTAAACTGATGTTTACTCTATATTGCCGTTTTAAAGTGTAACTAAAAATTTATTTATGGTTTCTATTTTGGTTTTTATATTTATATGTGGATCGAAATTTTTCATTATTTGGTATACAAATTTAAACACTTCTTATATTTCTTGTTTCAAGTTCAGATAATCTTCACTCAAATTTGAACTCTTTATTTTTAACTTTTGGTCTAATATTTGGCATATTCTTAAGTGCAAATTTGATTTTTCTTTCAGATTTGTTTTTGGATTACCAATCAACTTTTTGTTAATTTTTAATCAAACCGTAAAAGTTTGTCTAAGTGGACAGTTACTCAGATTTCCAAGAGTCCAGTGTTTTCAGGATTGTATATGGAAATAACGTTTATCTCCTTGCTTATATACATCGAACCGAAGAACTCCGGCTTTTTCTCAGTACTCTCGAGAACTTCTGGTGAATTCATAGCAGTTGACAGTATATGATTGGAACGCACAAATAATGAATAGGTATCGAGTGCTGGTATTCGCCGCATTCATGTTTATTTCTGCTACAAGTGTACTGCCGTGGAATTTATTTATAAATGCGCATGAGGTATGTCAATGTTGTCACTACAAATGATTCAAACTGTATGAACTAAAGGATTATTGATGAAATTTGAACATGTGTCAGGAATCAGTGGGCAGACCGAAACGTTATCGTTTGTTTGTCAAAGACTAGGTATGAACTATTGAATGGACTAGATTGAAGTATTTTTAAGCATAGATTTAAGCATTGCTTTATTAATTACTTTACTGATAGTTAATTCTTAAGTCGTTTTTTCTTCTCTCCAAAAAGTCTTTTTCAGTATTATCACTACAAGCTCCGTAATGTAACTGAGAATGCAACTTTAAGTGATGAAAAAGATGACACCGAACTACAGCGTTCATACGAAGGCTGGGTTACACTTACAGGTGGTGTTTCATGTGCTTTTGGCTCGGGAATAAATTTTTTGGTAACAGGACGGTAAGATTTTTTAATTTCTTGTATTTTTGCATGAACTTTAGACTTAGATGCAATTACTGATTAAGCTTTCTCATTTAGATTGTCTGGTCCTAGGTTGTAAACTTGTGATTGCCTTGTTATGTTTGAAGATTGCGAAAACAGATCGAATTATACATATCACTCTTCTTTTCTATTCTGATGAAATATTCATTATAAAACTCTTCCAATAAGAAAGCTTTTGCTGATTTTCCATCAAAAAATTTTCCATACACATATTTCATATTGGGACATTCTTTACGAATTCGAACAGGTCATACGGTCGTACTATTGTCACTTGTTCCTACGGTTTTATTGACATATATCAATACTGATGCATGTATGTTTCTCATTGATTTGTTTCGTGAATATAATTTCAGCACTCTTTTCAAGTAATTTTTGTTGTAAAATTTATTTGCCGGATAATACAATAATGTTGGTATTATTTATAGTTCAGTCAGCTTTCTTCTGCATTTCGATGGTACTCGCTTCCTTAGCCAGTTTTGGTTCCATTGGTTTGATTGCTTGTGGTCTTTTGGGATTTTCAGCGAAATTTCCACCTGAAAATGTAATTTTTCTTTTTCTGAAATTCAGCAATATTTTCATCTAAATATTTAAGTACTTTCCGAAATTTATCATTTTGATAGTTTCAAGATTTTTAGCAATTATATCATGGTTTCTTTTTTTTTTCTTGCTCAAACTTTTCGGAGATAGGCTTATAGTCACTATTATGTTGACGGGAAGAGGTTTGAAGTGCCGGACGCTTAAGTTCACTTTTATATGTGTGTTTTTGGGTGTTTTATTTTCCGTTGCAGGTACAAGCAGTAATGATTGGTCAGTCAGTGGCTGGCATTTTGAGTTCACTGTTGAGCATAGTTTGCCAAAGTTTAGCGGCTAATGCCCTTATGAATGGTCGTTTATTTTTTGTAATTGCTTTCATTTGGACTATTTTGAGTGTTTTTCTTTACGAATTATTGGTCCGTTCAAAAGAAACCGAATTGTTACTTATCGATGAGGGTAGCAGGATTGACGAGTCGTCTGATCAACGGCTTCTTGGTATTTTCTTCTTAATTTCTTGAATGTTTTCTTTTATTTAAACAGATCTTTTTACCTAATCTAACACTACGGATTTTGCTTTTTTACTGATGGTTCTTTGCCTGATATCTTACTAATATGGATAAAGCCAAAATTTTTGGTCATTTAATTAGTGCAAAAGAACTTAACTTTGAATAGCAGCACTTATATTGGGATGTAAAAGGAGATTTTTATAATCCGGTATTATTATCAGAGAAGTGATAATATTTAATTCAAGCTTAAAATTGAATTTATACGGTTAGATAATGTTGACAACACTTTCGAAGGAGATGAATCTCCGCTTCATTTGAGATCGACGGAAACTCATTCTTTGTGGAGCGACGCAGAACAAGTATGGAAAAAAGTAAAGTCATAGAATTATTTGCTCCTCAATTTTTATAATTCCTTCTCTTTTCTTAGGCAAATGGGGAAATGCTAAAGGACTCATCTTTCAGTGCTACTTAATTCCGGTGTATAGAACTGCAGCAATTAATTTGAAATATTTCGAATTTCATTAAAAAATTTGGTTTCCCTAGTTAGGTATCATTGTTTTGAACTTCATGAACAGAACTGACTTCATGCATTGTATTGTTTATCAAAAATCATATGTTGAATGAAATTCATTTCAGACTAAAGTGGAGTGGTGGGCTGGTTTTATCATTTTTTTCGGCACTATGGCAGCTTTTCCAGCTGTATCATCATTGGTTCAAACAAGTGCGAAAAATTTAGTTTGGAAAAGTAAGTATATTAGTTTCTTATCAGTTAACTTCTACAAAATTGATGGTGCGAATTTTCTTTCATAGGATGTGAATTTTCTTTCTGTGTAACCGTGCAATCATTTTTCGGATTAAAAAATTGCGTTGATTTGGATTAGTGGCTTCAGAATTTCGACTGAAGAAAAAGAAATAAATGTGCGGAAAAGAACTTGAATTATCTATGTGTTTTATGTGCTGCATAGCAAATCGGAAAACACTGATATCAATCATAAGATGAAATGCGACTGAATACGATGTAATTAAGCTAATTTAGCTAAAACTAGATATAATTTGGGACAGTGCAGCTAAGTTATTACAGTGAAATAATTATACAGTAATATAACACTAATGAATTAGTTGCTACAATATTCGCAACGGTATGTTGGTAACGGAACAAAATAATTGAGAGAAAACAAATTAGATTTTTTATGGACTTAAAAAATTTATCAGTAGAAAGGTATTGTATTGAGAACTTGATAAATTTGCGGATATGGAGTTATTGGCTAGTTTTTTCTAACTGAAACAATCTTTTGCAGATTATTTTTCATCTCTCGCATGCTTTTTATTATTCAACTGTGGTGATGCATTTGGCCGTTTAGTTGTGAATTTCTGTAGGCTGGTAAGTTGTTAATTTAGCAACAGTCAATGTTAAATTAAAATAAATGGGATGATATACAAAGATGACCACTTCTGGATGCTTCTTACAACGATTGATATGCTGACAAATTACCTATAAATCTTGATTAAAATTAATCAGTCGATACAGGGTTCTGCAGTTGCAAACTCAAATGAATATAGTACATAAATATATTAGGTGAGATTGATTTTTTTTTTTTTTGAAACTTTAATTAAGCTAGTTGTTTGTTGTTGTCGGTTAATTTCATTTATAACTGTTTGCCAAGTGATGCCGACTAATTTCAACTAGTCGGCTAACTTTTTTGAACAACAACCGCAATATCCGTATCTATTTTGGTCTAAGCTATAATTTTGACCTTTGCCCTTTTTGTGTAAGCCTAATTTCCATAACATAAAGCTGGATTATCTCATGGATCTAAAACAAGGTTATAATTTCCGCAGTCATTTAACTGCCAATTTTAGAAGGAAAAAGCCTTGATAATGCTGTCGTTTCTTCGGCTGCTCGCTATTCCGGTGCTTTTTTTCTGCAATATTAATCCACGTTATCATTCTGTAACATTATTTCGTAGTGATGAAGTTTTTATTTCAACAATGTTACTGTTTTCGATTTCAAATGGGTTCCTGTTTACAACAGCTACTATTAATGCGACAAGGTAGGTCTTTTTTTAAATAGAATTCAATCTTGTTTCATTTTATATTTTATTCTGTTTATATATGGAGAAGTATAAAAATAGCGTGCAGTTATGCATGCATGTCAGTAGTATATATCAGTAGTCAAAGAATTATAGCTTAAAACATGAAAAAAAAGATTGATAGAATTTAACGTCTAAGAGACTAGTGCTGGGTTAATTTTGTTTATATGATCGATTTTTCTTATAGAACATAACAAAACATTTTGTTGTAATATGGGTGAGTTGACCATTCAAAAGTTTCAGACAACTTGGAAAAATTAGGTGGCGACTAGTCTGGAACCACTATTTTAGATATAGGATTTAGTTAAGCGAAGTGTCGTTAACCCTTTTTTTTTTAAACTATATAGCGATGTATGAGGTTAGTTGTTGCATATTAAAAACTCGTTGATATTGCATTATTATTAGAATCTTTCATTAAATAGTTTGAACTACTATATATGAATATACGCGACAGATATATGTGGTAGTACACTCATTCCTTGTGTACAAACGTTTTTATTTTATCGCAATCTGCTATTTCATTTACTTTTTAGTGATTTGATGATTGCCTTCGGTCTATTTAATTTCTTGAGATTAATTATATTTTATCACCACTGCTATTATGCAGAAACACTCACTTTTTTTCATAAATCACCGTCCCTTTAATTTTCAGCAAAGTGCATGCTGAATTACGTGAATTAGCCGGAAGCATGTTTGGATTTATGGCAGTAATTTCAACACTATGTGGCTCGCTGATTGGTTTATTACTTGTTAAAGTTATGTAAAAAACTTAAGTTTTATGAGAGCTTCGTAACCAAGTCATATTATTATCAAAAATTCACAAATAAAAAATGTTTTAAATGACTACGTTTTAATGTTAGTTTATTGTCAGTAAAGATAAAAGCGAGCCGCATGATCATATTTCTCTTCCCTATGTCCGATGCATAACCTGACACTGTCAGAAAATCGAAATAATTTTATCAAAAAATCTATAAAATTCCTTATTGAGTAAATAAAGGTTCACAATGTTCTCATGAAAATTTAGCATGAAATTTTCATGTTCTCATGCTAAATTTTCATTTAAACGTTTGCTGTCTTCCCATCATTGTTAGTTTCATATTTGCTAGTTACATTCATCAGTCCTTTACTTGCCCATTCTAACTCATTTTTCTGCATTGCTATCTTTGTATTCAACCAAATGCATCAGGCAGGAAGGAGAAAACATCTGCTCCTAACCAATTGGTAGTGTTGTAAGATTCCTTCGTAAATCACATATAAGGAGCTAAATTTGATGAACTGAAACTCTAATTTATTTGAATCATTCACGGTTAGTGGACGATTTATTTAACGAAGTATGATCCTGCTTATTTCATTCTTTCCCTACAATAAAGCAACTGTTGTATCTACCCTCCAATATAAACAACAGTCAGCATCTAAATTCGTTTTACTTGCAATCTTCAACGATATAAAAAAACATTTTCCATATTTGTGTCTATTTGTCATAATTTTCTATAATAATCTTTTACAAAATCCAGTTATTTCTCCACCAAACATAGCTTATCACACTCTGTATCCTATGAGTTCCGTACTTTTTTTCCTGTTTTTTCTCACTTGGCTGTAAATAAATTAACTATGTAATAAATGTAATTCACATCATTGTTTGCCATTTTCCGCTTTTAAGCATTTCTACTGTTTTGTTCAGCTAATGCAAAGCATCGGACTGAATTTACTATAACAATATTTCTGTTAATTATTACTGACACCTCTTGTCCAATCTTTAAGTTAAGAAGCGTTAGCCTCACTTGGGAAAAAGGCTGCTTGGAATCCCAGGTGTTATATACATAATTGAAGTTTTGCGCATCATTGGTACGATGATTGCAGTAAATGCAATAAATGCAGCAATATAGTGGTCAAAAATCAATCATATCAACTTGAATGCATGATAAATTTTTATTCTGTTTGTTTGCTAAGAAACATTCGCTTTTCAAATGATCAGATGAATATTGAATGCACAACAACTATATGACAATGATGCAGGTATGATCGACGGTTTAATTACCCAAGTTTGAGGTAATTGAATGTTTCGGCCCAGAGTTTAGGCTACTGTGGCTTGAAGTAAAATTTTGGAACGTCCTGCATATTTGTGGGACAATAATAAATGCTTTTAGCAAGAATGAGATTTTGCTCAGGTTTTATCATTTGTATAAAATATATCATCAATCTATATTACTTACTTTGAATGCATGAAGATCGAAATTTTTCTCTACTTGCAATCTGTTTTGTTCCAGTGATAATGTAAATTTAGCAATTGAAATTTTGTTGAATAATAAATTTGGGCGCAAATGTTGCTTGAAGTGAAGTAAAAATCATCGCTACAATAAATGTGTGCTATTATCGATTGGATGTGATTTATGCTTCAACATATTTGTGACAATGCCACGTTGAAAGCACGACATCTCGTCCGATCTGTCAAGTTAAGCAACGTTGGGCCTGGTTAGTACTTGGATCGGAGACGGCCTGGGAATCCCAGGTGTTGTAGGCATATTTTTGGTTATTAAATGCAATAATACAGCGATCAAAAATGGATAATAGCACTTTGAATGCATGATTTTGTTTGATCAATTTTGCTGAAAACCTTTGCCCATCAATGATCTGATAAATATCGGTAACAACACATTTGTCCCTCCACATCCACGCATTTGTTGTTGCATACAAATTTAGAGTAACTCATTTAAAAATTTCACTTCAAGCAATGATGGCACCCAAGATCATACCCAAAAGTCAAAAATACTCCAATTATTAAATTTATACCATCATTCTCAGCATTCATCATTGTCATCCGTTCAATATTAAAGTTCTAACAGATTACTGAAAGATTTGCAAATAGAACAAAACACGATCAACATGCATTCAAAGTGACAGATGTGTTATCAAATTTTTTGATCTTTGTTAGTTTCTTTTATTCTGAATATTTTTTATTAAGGTTCTGCTTTTGAAAATGTTCATTGATCATATATTTAAAGCAAATGAAAGTGTACATAATATAGTACTAGCAATACTAAAATATAGATTTAGGATAGAAATACTAAAGACTGGTGCCGCTATATATGCAGTGAAAAAGGTAATGGATAGTGTAATGCATTCTTTGAACGGATAATTTTATTATACATAACATAGAAACAAAAGGAGCTAAATCTTTCCATAATTTCCTATCCATCATCTCTCAAACTGCTTAACTAAATGGATAAAGAAAATGAATTTATTAATAATACACGTAAATATTTAACAAATTGAGCACTCAATGGAAAATTTGAACTAGGAGAATACCCTGATAAAGCTGATATTACCAAAAGTTTGATCGAATAGAACCGAGGTCTAGCAGTAAAGAGTATATACAAGTTTGAGTAAATAGAGAAAGAAAAAATATTGGTGCTATGTCGTAAAAACGTTTCAAAATTATACTAAAGTTTTTGTTACTATATATTGGTAATAGGCATGAGAATACATCATTTCAGCCATTATTGTCCCACAAATATGCAGGACGTTCCAAAATTTTACTTCAAGCCACAGTAGCCTAAACTCTGGGCCGAAACATTCAATTACCTCAAACTTGGATAATTAAACCGTCGATCATACCTGCATCATTATCATATAGTTGTTGCGCATTCAACATTCATAAGATTATTTTCCGGCAAACGGATCAAACAAAAAGTGCTATGATCGATTTTTGATCACTGTGTATTATTGCATTTAATGCACACAACCAACTTGCATTCAAAGTAATATGATTAATTTTTTCATCACTGTGTTGTTTGTTGTATTTACTGCAATCAGCGTATCAATAATAAGCAAAACATCAAAATGTGTCTACAACAACCAGTAAAAATTTTATCTACAGCATCTGGGATTAAATATATCTTGGTACCTCCAAAATTAATATTATTGAAACTTGGATGACTAACAATATATTTACTAACCATATATTTATTAATAATTACTGAAATGAGTTGCAGAAAATTTGTTTAAATGTAGAATCATGACAACTGCGAATCAGTTTTAAACCTCAAAATAATTATTGTTAATCAAAAAGAATACTTTTATCTCCTTCAAAAAGTACTGATTTTTGGTCACGAAATTGAATTAAGTTTTTCGATTTTGAATTGAATTTTATGGGTTTATTGTATTTTCAAGTTTATCACTGTTATTGTAAAAGATAGCATTTTTATTTCCTTACTGTTTGATATAAATTCTAATTGATTTCATTTTTTCAAAAATCTTTTATGTAGTTAATTTGATTTACTAACTTTCATATGTAGTTTTATATAGCTCTAATGTTACTTCTATTTCTCGTTTAATGTCTCGCAGAAAATGGTTACGAAAGCAAAGACTTCGTGTACTTCAATTCTGAAACAATGAGACTTAGCCAGAAACATTTAGTAGGCGTAATGATGTCTTTTTCTCTCATTTTCTTTTTTTTTTTTTTTTGTGGAGCTGAAAATTTTGTCATCAGTTCTTTATCCTTAAAAATGAATTCAGTCTGTTTGGTGTGCCATAGAAAACTGTGATGTTTTGATAATCTATAACGATCTCTCAATTTTAATACTTTGCTTGATTCTTTGAACAAACAATTTTTTTTTGCTTCAAATTTTGCTCATTCTTTCCATACTAATATAATATAGTCAGTTCATTATCTTGTACAACTGGTGTATGTGCCACATAATATGTCTTTTGATCATAATTTAAGGACGTTTTTTTTAAATAAAAAAACTTTTATTAATCATTATCGTATTCCTCTCAAGCCCAGTGATAATATGATATAAAGTTTTTTATTATTTTTACCCAAAATTGAGTTTCATTGTAGAGTCTAAGATCTTGTCGAGAAATTGTGTTCGTAATAAATTGAGATATTTCTCAAGTTAATTCAATTCAAGCTTTTCGTAGATTATTAGTTTGCATATTTAGTTCAGTCTGCATAGACTAGTTTTAGATTTGGCAGCTTGTTTGATTATAAACCATCAGTACATATGTGTCAAAACTATAACTTCGCCGATGTTTAATCTAGATTATCTGAAAGATTATCTGAAATTCAATTGCTGAACATATCATTTATCAATAATTGCTACTTTACTCATTTTTATCTTTGCCATATCCCATTGTTCTATTAACTTTGGAAGTTATTCGTTACCCGAGGACTGCAATTTCTTTCGCACAATACTATTAAAACTTAATTTTTATTTGATAAAATCATGATTAAAATTCACGGTTTCGTTCGCAATTTATCCAGCAAATACAAAAAGGTATAGTCATAAACGGTGAAACTGATAGATACTGTTATAGGTCCCTGAAAAACGTTTTCACGCTGAGAACTTCCAAAGTCATAGCTGTATTTGTTACTTGGCTTTAATAAGAGATAATTATAACTACAAATAAAATGATGTAACTACAATCTAGCTTTTATTTTCGATACTGCAATTTCTTTAGTAAATCAAGTTTTTAACACTGACTAAATATTTATTAGTAGTATAATAACAATAATCAATACAATAATAATCATGATTGAGGTGGGCAGTAATAACAATAATAATAAGAATAAAAATTAAAATATTTTTAGCATTACTCTCACAATTTATTCCAAATTGGAATTATAATAATAATAATCATTAATCACTTTTCTCAACAGAATCCACTGGCATCATTTTGGAAATGTAATATATAATTTTCAATTACGAATCTTCTTTTTCATTTCATTCAGTTTATTTCATCATTTAAATTTGATATAATTCTT